CTTTTTCTTTCCCCCGGCTCTGGTTTCTAACCCTCAATTTAGTAGACCCTACTTGTGCCAACTGGAATAAACACTCTCTCTAAAAAAATCCTTGGTCGATGGGCCACTCTCCTAAACATCTCTACAATACATCTGGTATTGTCCATATCATACCAAGCTCATGCTCCCTCCTTGATTGTTGCATTGTTCCAACTAATCTCTCAAAGTTTATGATGGGATAGTTTGGCTCAGATGATAGATTTTTATGGAGCCAGATATTGAATTCCTTAGAATATGTCCCCTCATGAATGTGCCCCACAGAAATCCATAATCCTATAAGATTCTCTGTATGCTACCATTGCAAGGGAGAGTATTATATAGGTAATCACTCATTCACTCATTGTACATATCATAAAATTTACCCATTAAAGTTTACAAATATTTTGCCAAGTGAGGGGTGCCTGGGTGGCTCAGTCGGTTAAGTATCTGCCTTTGGCTCATGTCATGATCTCGGTCCTGGGATGGAGCCCTGCATCGGGCTCCCTGCTCAGCGGGGAGCCTGCTTCTCTCTCTCCCACTCCTCCTGCTTGTGTTCTCTGTCAAATAAATAAATAAAATCTTTAAAAAAATATTTTGCCAAGTGTTACAACCTCACCATAAATGAGTTTAGAACATTTTCATGCCCCTTTATGTTCATTTATAATTAATCTTGGTTCCGCAATCTAGCCCCAGGCAACCACTAATTTACTTTGTATAAACTTGCCTTTTCTGGAATTTTCATAAAAATAGACTTTCACTAGCATAGTGTTTAGCTTGTGCCAGTAGTTTGTTACTTTTTATTGCTGAATAATATTCCATTGTATGGATACAACACACTTTGTCTATCCATTCCCCGGCTGATCAACATTTCAGGTTATTTCATTTCTTGAGCTATTCTGAATAATGCTTCTATGAACATTCATGTACAAGTCTTTATGTGGGGACGCCTGGGTGGCTCAGTTGTTAAGCCTCTGCCTTTGGCTCAGGTCATGATCCTGCGGTCCTGGGATCGAGCCCCGCATCGAGCTCCCTGCTCAGTGGGAAGCCTGCTTCTCCCTCTCCCTCTGCTGCTCCCCCTGCTTGTGCTCACTCACCCTCTCACTCTCTCTCTGTCAAATAAATAAATAAAATCTTTAAAAAAACCAAGTCTTTATGTGGATATATATTTTCATCTCTCTTGAGTAGTTGCTTAGAAGTGGAATTGCTGGGTCTTAAGGCAGTTTTAAGTTGTTTTGGAAATACCACAGTTTTCCAAAGGGCCGTACCATTTTACATTTCTGTCAGCAGTGTATCAGGGTTCCAATCTCTCCAACCTCGCCAACATTTGTTATTGCCTGCTGTATTTATTAAAGACATTCTAGTGGGTGTGAAATGGTATCTCACCGTGGTTTTAATTTGCATTTTTCTAGGGCGCCTGGGTGGCTCAGTTGGTTGAGCGACTACCTTCGGCTCAGGTCATGATCCTGGAGTCCCGGGATCGAGTCCCGCATCGGGCTCCCTGCTCGGCGGGGAGTCTGCTTCTCCCTCTCCCACTCCCCCTGCTTGTGTTCCCTCTCTCGCTGTGTCTTTCTCTGTCAAATAAATAAATAAAAATCTTTTAAAAAAAATTTTGCATTTTTCTAATGACTAACGGTGTTAAGCTTCTTTCACGTTCTTATTAGCCATTTGTGTAACTTCTTTGATGAAATGTCTGTTCGTTTCTTTCGCCCCCTATTTGAGTTGTTTTCTTAATTATTGAGTTGTAAGTATTTTTTTATATATTACGGATACAAATCCTTGATCAGATATGTTTTCCAGATATTTCCTCCAGTCTGTAACTTGTCTTTGAATTTTTTTTTTAAGATTTTATTTATTTATTTGACAGAGACACAGCGAGAGAGGGAACACAAGCAGGGGGAGTGGGAGAGGGAGAAGCAGGCTTCCCGCCGAGCAGGGAGCCCGATGTGGGGCTCGATCCCAGGACCCTGGGATCATGACCTGAGCCGAAGGCAGACACTTAACAACTCAGCCAATCAGGCGCCCCTGTCTTTGAATTTTCTTAATGGTATATTTTGAAGTGCACAAGTTTTGAATTTTGATGCTATCCAACTTACCTGTTTTTTCAGTGATAGCCTGTTTTTGGTCCAACAGAAAACAGTCCATCTGTAGAATAGGTAGAAGCTTTAATCTAAGAAATCTTTGCCTAACACAAAATCTGGAAGGTATGCTGTTTTCTTCTAGAAATTTTATTGTTTTAGCTGTTACATTGAAGTCTATGATCCTTTTGAGTTAATTTTCTGTATGAGTTGAAGGTCTAAGTTCATCTTTTTGTGTGTGGATAATCAATTGTCCCAGCACATTTGTTGAACAGACTATTCTTTCCCCCAGTGAATTGCCTTAGCACCTTTGTCAAAAATCAATTAACTATAAATATAGGGATTTATTTCTGGACTCAGTTCTGATCCATTAATCTCTATGTCTATCCTTCTACCAGTACTACTGCTGAGGAGATCTTAATATGGAAAATTATTAATACATTCTGCAAGCTAATAACTCCTCAGAATTTGAGGATGACCAACTCCAGAAAGTGGGACACAGACTAGTATTCTCATAAATGGCTCAGAAACAACACAATAGGTCTTTAATTAGGTATGTTGGCTTGAATTGATACTAATTGTTTTAAAACAAGATTTTATTTATTTGAGAGAGAGAGAGTGAGAGCAGGGGCAGGGACAGGGGCAGGGCGGGGTGGGGGGAGAGGGAGAAAATGTCAAGCAGATTCTGGGCTGAGCCAGGAGCCTGACGTGAGGCTCAATCTCACAACCTGAGCTGAAACCAAGAGTTGAGCACTCAACCGAGCCACCCAGGCCCAAGGTGATACTAATCTTAAATTTCACTAATTCTAACACATCTATAAACAAGTCCCATTTGTAAATAGTTATCACTGGTTCTGTAGAAAATGTTGGCCTTGTTTGTAAGACTACTAGGATGATGGCCAGTGGATTGCTGCACTCTTTTTTTTTTTTTTAAGATTTTATTTATTTGAGAGAGAGAGAGAATGAGAGAGAGCACATGAGAGGGAGGAGAGTCAGAGGGAGAAGCAGACTCCCTGCCGAGCAGGGAGCCCGATGCGGGACTCGATCCAGGGACTCCAGGACCATGACCCGAGCCGAAGGCAGTCGCTCAACCAACTGAGCCACCCAGGTGCCCGATTGCTCCACTCTTGATACAGTTTTTTGCAGAGGTTCACAGAGCTGGTTCTCTTTCTTACCTGAATCTGAAAGATTAAATTTGTCACCACAACCATGCCAGAAATATAAACTGACCATAACATAACAAGGTCTTTGTAGTGGTTATTAGGTCTTTGACAACCATTCTCATTGCCCTGTCCTTTCAAGAACTTGTTAGCATTGTATTTTCCTGGCCTCCTTGAAGTTAGTCGTGGTCATGACTTGATTTGGCCATCAAAATCAGTGTTGGGTGGAACTTTTAAAAGCCCATATGGAATTCGCCAGATTTCCTAGTCCTGTCTCATGGAAGTGTGCAATGAGATGGATCCTCCTGCAGCCTTGGTCCCTGAGTGATGTGCAGGCTATCCCAGATTCCCCACAGCAAGCGCTGTAGCTTATATAAGAAATGTTAGTTGTCCTGGAAACATGTGATATGTTACTGTAACATAACCTAGCTTATTATAACTGCTACAAACTATACTTAATGTGAAAACACGGCCTAAAAATCTGTCAGATCGTTCATTTGTAAACAGCTCTAGGAGTCTAGGTTTGGGTTCCACTCCTGGCTCTGCCAGACGGGCTCTGGCTCAGCTTCTCTGGTCGAGCATGAGGTCCATTATCCCTTCAAGATACACATATTTGCCCACTCCATGGGGCAAAGAGCTTGTTCTCAAGAGCCAGACTGCCTGAGGTGGAATCCCAGCTTTTATGCAGGGGACAGTTTTTGTTGTTGTTGTTGTTTTTAAGATTTTATTTATTTATTTGACAGAGACACAGCGAGAGGGAACACAAGCAGGGGGAGTGGGAGAGGGAGAAACAGGCTTCCCGCTGAGCAGGGAGCCCGATGTGGGGCTCGATCCCAGGACTCCAGGATCATGACCTGAGCTGAAGGCAGACGCTTAACGACTGAGCCACCCAGGCACCCCCGCAGGGGACAGTTTTAGCCATGTTTCTTAACTTAGGTGGCTGTTTCCACATGTGTACAATGTAGACAACAGTGTCTATACCCTATAGGAATACATATAAAGCATTTAGGACAGTGCCTGGTAGAGAGTGCTTTGTGGGTATTAGCCGTTAGTGAGGAATGGCTCTTGCTGGCCCTCTTCACCTCTACCCAGCCATCCATCCAGAACATGCTGGGCACAGCCATTCATTCCCCTCTATTCTATCAGAGAGCTGAGCACTGGGCAGAACAGTCAACCCTGGAATGCTTGGGTCCAATTCAAATGATAAAACTCTGGGCCTGGCTGTAGATTTAAGCTGTAGTGAAAAATGAAATTGAGAGGCACCTGGGTGGCTCAGTCAGTTAAGCATCCAACTCTTGGTTTCGGCTCAGGTCATGATTTCAGGGTTGTGAGATCGAGCCCCACATCGGGCCCTGCGCTTAGCACATAGTCCGCTTCAAATTCTCCCTCCCTCTCCCTCCTGCTCTCTCTCAAATAAATTAAATAAATAAATAAATAAATAAAATCTTTTTTAAAAAGGCAATTGAGAGCTATGAATATGTTCTAGGTTACAAGAACAGTTCAACATCTAGAAAGTTCATAGAACTGGAACTGACCAAGTCTAACTGGCTTCAATCAATGGGAACTGGGAAGCAAACGTCACATTCCCACTCACACCCAAATAACTCATGTAACACATGGTGGGTGTCTGGTTTATTCAAACTGTCGGTCAGAGCCCCATCCCTGGCCAAGGAGCAGGAAGTGATTGGCCAGGAGCTGTGGGGCTCAACAGGGGAGGACTGGGCAGGTATCAGAGGGTAAAAGGGGCTCAGCCGAGCAGCCAGAGTTGCTGCATCAGGGCCAGGCTGAGCAGGAGAGGCTCCAGCCCTCGGGGCAGGGCCCCGGCACTCATGGCCAGGGCATAGAACCTCGCCACCTCCTCGTTGGGGTTGCCCTGGGCCGGGTCGAACCACATCTGGATGCAGCGGCCGCTCCCTCGGCTGTAGTTGCTGAGTTTGTAGGAGTGACTCCAGATTTCACGGCACAGAGCAGCTGATGTGGGGAAGTAGAAATGGAAGGGAAGGCAGGCAGCTCCCGCTGGGCACTGGTTATAGCCTGTAGGGAAGATGGGAGACCTTCAGCCACTGGGCCCAGAACTAGCTTTGCTTCCACCAAGCCCACAGCCCCAAATATTCCTATGCGAGCCCCACACCCCACACTTCCACCTCCAGATCTCTCCCTTCCCGCCCCACCCGGGCCCTCACCTGAGGTCCAGTTCCAGCCCCTGTGCCAGTTGCTCTTGCAGGTGTAGGAGGTGCGACAGTCCTCCCACCATTGCTGGCAGTCCTCTTTGCACAGGGGCACGTCCAGGATGCGCTCCTTGCGCCAGCTCTGGTTCACCTGGGTGGGAGGTCAGTAGAGAAAAAGGGCTCAGGTTCATGATTCTCAGCAGCTCAGCCCTGAAGAGACCCAGAGCTGGAGAGGCAGCCTGACGAGAGGTCTGGGAAGCTCAGCTCCTCTGTAAAGATGGGGGTCCAGGGAGGACACTCATACCTCCTGGATCCAGGGCCCCAGGTTAGGGGAGCACTCATACAGGCAGGTGTCCTGGATGAAGTGCCTTTTGCAGGAAGGTGTCATATGTCCGCAATGGTCCCAGTTGAATTTGTACAGGTAGGAAATATCCTTATGGGCTTCCTGGCTGGTGTTGGCGAAGCAGCAGGAATTCTTCTTCCAGGGGCTGCACTGGGTGGGGAAGACACAGGGACTAACTCCCACACCCGGCACACCCACAATATTCCCACGTGCAGCCTCGTCCCTTTTAGTCTTTGATCCCCCAAGGCAGTCAGTCTTCCAGGGCAATGCTTGCCATTGGGAGACCCTCTTCAGGGGCAGTGCAGGCATTATGAAATTCATTAATTCAAATCTTTATTGAGCTCCTACTTCCTCTAACCCAGAGAGTAGAAACATGACAAGGAACACTTCTCACAGGATACCTACTTTGGAAAGAGATTAAAGCAGGAGAGAGGGATGGGGAATTGCAGCTTTCTAGAATGGTCAGAGATGCCTCACTGAGAAGGTCACAAAACACCTGGAGGTGAGGAAGCAAGTCAAATAAATTAGAACCTCAGAATAGATCTAATTACAGGTATACTCAAAACACTGAATAAATGAAAACCCATAGCTTAGAATGCAGTATAAAAGCAAAATATTAAAATGTGCACTTTAGGGGCACCTGGGTGGCTCAGTCGTTAGGCGTCTGCCTTCATCTCAGGTCATGATCCCAGGGTCCTGGGATCGAGCCCCACATAGGGCTCCTTGCTCCGCGGGAAGCCTGCTTCTCCCTCTCCCACTCCCTCTGCTTGTGTTCCCTCTCTCACTGTCTCTCTCTCTGTCAAAAAAATAAATAAAATCTTTAAATAAATAAATAGGGGTGCCTGGGTGGCTCAGTTGGTTAAGCGACTGCCTTCGGCTCAGGTCATGATCCTGGAGTCCCTGGATCGAGTCCCGCATCGGGCTCCCTGCTCGGCGGGGAGTCTGCTTCTCCCTCTGACCCTCCCCACTCTCATGTGCTCTCTCTCATTCTCTCTCTCTCAAATAAATAAATAAAAATCTTTAATTAAAAAAATAAATAAATAAATAAATAAAATGTGCACTTTATTTTTAGAGAGGGATTGTGCACACACATATGCACAAAAGTGGGGTAGAGGCCGGGAAGGGGGCAGAGGGAGAAGGAGAGAGAGAAGTCCAAGCAGGCTCCACACTCAGACTGGAGCCCGATGCAGGGCTGGATCCCACGACTCCAAGATCATGACCTGAGCTAAAATCAAGAGTCGGAGCCTCAACTGACTGAGCCACCTGGGCGCCCCTAAAATGTGCACTTTAAAAACAACATATAGGTTGAAGAAGTTAAAGTCGGGGCTGCTCCAAGTATCCAAGTTACACCATCACTCGGCTGTAGGCTCAGTGATTCAAAGCAACGCGATCACTATCTGCTAATGAGGTCAAAATGAACGTTGACATATTGGAATGCATTTTGCAAGTGGCTTCCCTTTTGTGTTTTCTTCACAGTTATGGCATCATATTGATTTTTTTAAACATGTAGACAGGTTCAGGATATTAAAGGGGTTGTGGTAAATCAGTTGTCATAGAAAGGAGAGCTCAGGTCCAATAAGCAGGTCAAGAACCCCAGAGGAAATGTTTGCTAGATGCGTGAATCAAGGTGCCTCACACCCAGCCTTACGACTGTGAGAAATCCAGTCGCTGGGGCTGGCAGAATAGAAGCCACGATGTGCTGTGGGTACTCTCTCCTCTCAAGACTCTTAGCGGGGTCAGTTCCAGCCTAGACTCTGAAATCAAAATGAACCCCTGGGCTGGGTCGCTCCAGTGTCATTTCCCAGGCTCCTCTCTGGACATGCTTCTGGGTTTGTGTGCCCTGGAAATGAAACCACCAAGAAGCTGAGCTCTTGGCGTCGTACTGACAACATGGGGCACTGAGCATGTGGCAAGCAGATAGGTGCCCACAGTAGTACAAACTCAAGGCCTCTCAGGTGGCCTTTCTGCCTCCACCATGGATGGACTTGGACGCTTCTATTCCCGCCTTCGTCTTCCTGAGTTTGCTCCTCCCCACCCCAGACTGGCCCTCTGCCCACCTGCTTATGCAGCTGGTCCTCCGGGCTTGGCTTTTCCTTGTGGTGCTTGGCGTCCATACAGACACTGAGAAGCTCAGTCCTGGGCCGGGCTGCCCATACTGCGGCCACCCCCACCAGAAGGAACAGCAGCTGTGTTCTCACCAGCTGGGCCATGTCAGTCTCTGAAGGAAGAGCTGTGGTCAGTGGCACCACGGAAGGCAGAGGTGGGGCCTCCAGGTGGGTGGAAACAGCCCCCGCTAGGTGGAGCCTCCGTGAAACCTGGGCCTGGTCCCGCCCCACCCCAACCCCTCAGTCTTCCCAGCCTCAGGGAGGGATGGGATCAGACACCACCCCCTGGGACGGTGGGTCCTTGCTCGGGTCACTCAGGTTACTGACTTCTCCAGGTGGAAGGGATCAAGTGATGAAACTAAGGGATGGCGTTTGGGCAAAATGCAGAAACAGCCAGGAGATTGCCATAGGTCCACAGTCTCTTGTTTTGAAATCCTTGGAGGCAAATGTTTCAGAATTTAAAATATTTAGGATTTGGTAAAAGGTAATACGATTTACATGCACAACAATCAAGCACCCATTCTGTGGTAAAAGAGTTACACTGGTGGGTTAAATAAAAACTATAATAACAACAACAACAACAACAAATTATAATAACCTCACACTGATTCTCAGGTCAGATTTTGACACCAAATCACTTTGTGCAAACTTTGACAATGATCTTAGTTTTGGAGCTTCAGATAAGCTGCAGACCTATGTTTAGAAAAAACAAAAACAAGGGGCTCCTGGGAGGCTCAGTCTGTCAAGCGTCCGACTCTTGATTTCGGTTCAGGTCGTGATCTCAGGGACATGAGATCAAGGCCCACGTCGGGCTCTGAGGTGGGAGTGGAGCCTGCTTGGGATTCTCTCTCTCCCTCTGCCTCTGCCTCTCCCTTCCCTCTCTAAAAACCCAAACCAGAAACAAACAACCCCCAACCTTGGTTCCATCCCTTCCCCAGCCTCATCATTTGGTTTCTCCCAGAGGTCCTGTGACATGGGTCATTGTCACAGGGCACGGAGGGCTGGGGGTGGGTGTGGGGAGCCAGCTGGACAGCCTCCAGGCCTCGGGAGGTTCCCATCCCCTGGCCACAGAGCTGGCCTCCCACCTTTGCGGCACCTCAGCCCTCTGAGCTCAGACCCTGAACCTGGAGGTGACTGACTGTTCCCTCACCCCACTGGTCACCAGGCACCTGGGCTCTCCTAAACTTTGGCATGTTTCCCACAGCTCCCAAAAGCATATGCACCCCTTTGCTCAAAGCTGCCTTGTCTCCACAGTGCCCCATGTCCTATGGAAATCGGGCTTCTTCCTGGGCCTCCTGGATGGGGCCAGAGCTGGCCGCCTCCAGGCTGACTGCCCAGCAGGGCTCAGGGAACCTGGAACTGAATTCCCGCCTCACTCCCCAACTCGCCCCTCACCTTCCCACCATCCAAGATTCTACTACACTATTTATTCTCGTGTTCATTCATTCTCTCCCCTGCTAATTCATTCATTCCAGGACCCAATCATCCTTCTCATGACCAAATCACTCACTGATCTGCGAGAGCAGAGGACAAATCTGTATTCTGGGGAGCACCAGGTGACTCTCTGGGGAAACAGTCTAGCAGTTTAGAGCACAGGGGGCCAGAGGAGCCTGTCCACAATTTCAGTCCTAACAGAAAGCCCCCGCCCCAGGCTCCGTGGGCCCCACCTGGTCAGTCAGCAGTTTTTCTTATTGCGGTTGCTTTCTAGAGCTAGAGCTCTCCTCTCGTGCAACCTACATCACCCGGCAAGCCACTCCCCACATTCCTAGTCTCTGCTTCAGATCTTGGTGCAACTCTCCACCCCCACCACCCCTCACCAGCCACCATCACCCTCATCACCCTGACCACAGGTGCCCTAGGGCCCCAGACTTGAAGCGCGCTAAGGACTTGGCACTGTGCTAAAAGGCAGGAGCCCATCGGTTGTAGTTCGGGGGTGGACACTAACTTACAGTTTTAACCTTGGCCAGGCCCTGCTCTGCTCTGGGCCCTCAGCCTCCACTTTTGGATTCTCTGGGATTTAGGCCAAGTGGATCCTCCTGGTTCAGCAAATTCTTTAACACCTGCTGGGGGCACTATGGGGTGTGTTGCCTCTACTGAGGGGGTGGGGAGTGGCATACCTGGGAGAGGAAGTGGTTCCCGGTCTGGCTCAGGCTTCTGCTCTGCTCTAGAGTCCCCCTTGCCCTACTTTGGGGCACAGACGAGGTTTAGTGGCCTAGGAGACGGGCAGTAGGACAGGCAGTGGGGAATGTGGCCCAGGAGTGGAGCCTGGGATCGGGCGAAGGCCACTCAGCAGTTAATTATTGCACGCTAATTATTGTGGGCACTAGCCAGGCCTCCATGGGAGGTGGGTGGATTCATAGTGCAGACCTAAGGCCACTCCCCAAGTCCCACTTACCCCTTTTCCTCCCCCAAACTCAGGTCTGATAAAACCTGGCAGCCTGAGATGCTGGGATCCTTTAAAATAATCCTGTCCACTTCCAACCCCCTGTCCTTCGTATACAGATGAGAATGAGATCCAGAGACTCAGGACAGAACCAACTGCAGGGCGAGGACTGGAGTGCATGCTTCTAAGCTCCCAGGCAGCTGTAGCGAGTACAAAGCTCCCCAGTTCCCAACACAGAGATCCACCAACTCCTCCAACCTCACCAGCCCCAGGCATTACCACCAGCCAAATCAGACATTCATATGTCCAGCCCCTCTCCCTTCCCCCTGGCACCCACCCACACAGGTGTCCCTTCTACAGCATCTGAGAGTCAGGTCTCAGGGAGACCCCTCCACCACGCCCACCCCAGCCAAGGACAGAAGCCTTCTTTTTACCATGGTGGTACCACTGGCGGGGAAAGGGAAAAGCAGAGGAGCAAATTTGGGCAAAAAGAAATGCCGAGCTCCATTTTGTCACAGTGCCTGTGTGCCACCCAGGGAGAAGTGGTCATAGAGTCAAAAGCCCCGGGGAGGGTACAGGTTGGATACATATGTGGCAGCCATCGGCCTAGGGACAGCAATAGAAGTTTAAGGAAAATGGGGCCTCAGCACTGTGGGGAAGGCCACAGGTCTGGGCCCATGGAACAGGATGGGGATGGGCTTGCTGGAGAAGCAACGAAGCCCTGAAGGGCCTGTAAAGAAATGGACTCCCAGAAGACCTCCTCCCTCCCCCCCTTCCCCCACCTCAAGCCCTGTTTTACCTCTCCCTCAGGGCGATCCTTACTTGAATCCTGTGACAAGCAGGGAGGGTTAAGGCCTCAGAAGATCTCAGCAGATGAAGGGCCATCGGACTCCTCAGACCTCTCTTCTGGCTTTATAAGACCAGGCAGCCCTCTCCAGATTGGAGAAGAATGACCAAACATCTAAGAATGCCTGCAGGAGGGAACTCCTCCAGATGGAACTTGCCCCTACCCGGCATCCTCCACTCTGCCCTGGGGACTGATCCTTGACTGGGTTTTGTGGCCTCTCGACTAGGAGAGGAAGACCCTGGGCCCTGAGGGCTTCAGAAGTCACCAGCTAATGGGAGGTGAGATGAGGGTGGAGTTCTGATCTGTGGGGAGTTCCTTCCCCTTTGTTGAGCCCTCCTCTGAATCTGGGATCTGGGTGCTGGGGCTGTCTGACCTGCAGGGAGGGGCAGGGTGAATCAGCCACCTTTGAGCCTGGACTGGAAGTGTATTTTTTTTTTAAGATTTTATTTATTTATTTGACAGAGAGAGACACAGTGAGAGAGGGAACACAAGCAGGGGGAGTGGGAGAGGGAGAAGCAGGCTTCCCGCTGAGCAGGGAGCCCGATGTGGGGCTCGATCCCAGGACCCTGGGATCATGACCTGAGCCAAAGGCAGACGCTTAACAACTGAGCCACCCAGGCGTCCCTGAACTGGAAGTTTAATATCAGCCAGGTGAGCCATCGGCATCCTATAGACCCCAATCTGTAGGCTGTGCTATGACCAAAGATAACAGGAAGGTGTTTGACGGGTGCAGGTGGAGGCCCCAGGTGGCAGGGAGTCGGGGTGGGTGAAACTGGAGCTTTCCCTGCCCGCTGCTAGCCTGCCCCCTATTTTCTCAGCTGTGGAAATAGCAGTTCCCAGGCAGCCAGGAGAGGCTATGAATTCAGATGTGAGTCCCATTCCAAGCCAGATTCTTCCACAAAGAGAGAAAGGAAAGCTCTGTGCATCAGCCTAAGGATTGCAAATCCAGTGTTTCTCCTCTGACCTCAGTTCCGCCACTTGCCTTCTTAACTTCTATTTCAGCCACCTAGAAATTTCTGCTTCAACTTCCATCCTACCAAGCCTTTGTCCTTGCTGAACCCTCTCCATGGAATGTTGTTCCTCCCGCCATTTTCTGCTTGGCAAACATGACTCCCCTGGAAGCCTTCTCTAACCTCCCCGGGCTCCCATAGACTCCTTGTGAGTGTTTGTCTTGTTAGGGAAAAGCAGATGACAAACACAGCAGATAATAGGTATTTGTACAAAGGGACGAGACAGATGTGATAAGAAAGTGCTTGGATGACCTCTTTTGGTTCGTCAGAAGTCATGTTAGCGGCGAATCATAGGTTGAAATCTAAGTGACTACAAGGAGCCAGCCCACAGAGGAAAAAGGAACATTCCAGGAACACAGAAAGAATTGCTGGCACAAAGGCACAAAGTGAGAAGTGTGAATGGAGCTCACCTATGGGGTGTGGAACAGAACGATTGGAAATGAGCTTTAAATCCGTCTAAGTCGGGGTGGAGGGCAGGGCTCTCTATGCCGTTGAAGTTTGGCTTCTCCAACAGATACCATGGGAAAGCATTAAAGGGTTGGTGAGGGACTGTCACATAAGACATTTTTTGGTGTTTGTTTTACTTTTTAAAAAGTGTCCATCAGATAATGAAACTTGTGGGTACCAGTATGATGGTCAATAGGATATCTCCAGTTCTCAATATCTGCCTATATCATACTTACAAATTACAAAGGGGGAAAAAAGTAGTGGAGAAACCTGACGGACCCAATCTCACCCTCAGGAGTGGGTGAACTCACCACCATACGCCTTCTGTTAGGATGCACTGAGAATGACACAGTATTGCCTTGGGGATATTCATGCCAAAAATGCGTAACCTCAGTCTAATGAGGAAGAAACCGATAAACCCCAAATGAGGGATATTCTACAATGTAACTGGCCTGTGCTTTTCAAAAATGTCAAGGTTCTAGAAGAACCCCTCTCCCTCAAATATCCATCAGTAGGAGACTGTTAAATGTGACATATACTACATAGACTGGAATATTGCCCAGCGATTGAAAAGAATGGGCCCAAACTTAGTAGACCAAAAAGGAAGATCTCAGAAACTGTGTTCTCATGATAAGACACGTGGCGCATGAAAACCACACCAAGATGGTCTTTTCCCGGGGCGCCTGGGTGGCTCAGTTGTTAAGCGTCTGCCTTCGGCTCAGGTCATGATCTTAGGGTCCTGGGATCGAGCCCTGCATTGGGCTCCCTGCTTGGCAGGAAGCCTGCTTCTCCCTCTCCCACCCCCTGCTTGTGTTCCCTCTCTCGCTGTGTCTCTCTCTGTCAAATAAATAAATAAAATATGAAAAAAAAAAAAAAAGATGGTCTTTTCCCACCTATCAGCTTAGTAGGAAATCAAAAGTTTGACCGTATCCTGGGAAACAGTCACTCATTGCTAGTGGGGGGGGGGGGCACACTGATACAACCCCTGTAAAGTTGTAACTATCAAAATTATAAATCCATATACTTCTTGACCCAGCAATTCCTTTTCTGGAATTCAAGTATAACATTCTACCATGCATAAAATTAGTCACTGCAGGGGCATCTGGGTGGCTCGGTTGGTTGAGCGTCCGACTCTTAGTTTCTGCTCAGGTCATGTAGGGTCCTGGGATCGAGCCCCACATTGGGCTCCATGTTCAGTGTGGAGTCTGCTTGAGACTTTCTCTCCCTCTCTGTCTGCCCAGCAACTGTCTCTTTTAAAAAAGGGAAGCAATGCAGTTGTTCATCATTGGGATTCCTTACCTACTACCACCACTAATATCTGCACCCTAGTCCACATCTAATAAGGGAAAGAAAGGGAAAGAAACTTTCTCACCAGGAGCCTGAGAATTCATCTGTCAGTCTCTGCCCACCTTCTTTCCACCCAACCCCATATCCCCTTGTAGTGTGGGACTGATGAATTTGGCATGGGGGGAAGCCTGGTGAAGAAGTAAGAGCCTCAGACTAAGGAGTCAGCTTCTACCTCCTACTTGCTGGTGAACTTCAAGCTAGTCACAGTCCCTCTTTGGGCCTCTCAATAGGAATGATAAAGCAATGAAGCATGTCCCTCCAACCCACTCATCCCCAAATTATTATTATTTTCTTTCTAAGATTTTATTTATTTATTTATTTATTTATTTATTTATTTATTTATTTATTTATTAAAGATTTTATTTATTTATTTGAGAGAGAATGAGAGACAGAGAGCACGAGAGGGAAGAGGGCAGAGGGAGAAGCAGACCCCCCGCTGAGCAGGGAGCCCGATGCGGGACTCGATCCAGGGACTCCAGGATCATGACCTGAGCCGAAGGCAGTCGCTTAACCAGCTGAGCCACCCAGGCGCCCTAAGATTTTATTTATTAATTTGACAGAGAGAGACACAGCGAGAGAGGGAACACAAACAGGGGGAGAGGGAGAAGCAGGCTTCCCAAAGAGCAGGGAGCCCAATGCGGGGCTCGATCCCAGGACCCTGGGATCACGACCTGAGCCGAAGGCAGATGCTTAACCACTGAGCCACCCAGGTGCCCCATCATCCCCAAATTATTTACAAGACACAAGATACACATGGATCTATTAAAATAGGCTGTCAGAGGAACCCCATATGACCCATGTTGGATCAAGAACCAATGACCAGGGCATTGTGAGGTCCCCTCATCTGAGAGTGCTGCGCTCAGCTGAGGCCAGGTCACCCGGGCTGGGCCAGGTGCAGACTAGGAAGGTGTGCAGTGGGAGGGGCTCAGCCGAGCAGCCAGAGTTGCTGCATCAGGGCCAGGCTGAGCAGGAGAGGCTCCAGCCCTCGGGGCAGGGCCCTGGCACTCCTGGCCTGGGCACAGAACCTCGCCACCTCCTCATTGGGGTTGCCCTGGGCCGGGTCGAACCACATCTGGATGCAGCGGCCGCTCCCTCGGCTGTAGTTGCTGAGTTTGTAGGAGTGACTCCAGAGGCCCTCACACAGGGCTGCAGGCGTGGGAAAGTAGGTCTCAAATGTGCGGCAGGTGGTCCCGGTTGGACACTGGTTAATTCCTGCAGGCGGAGAGGGCGTGGACACAGACATTCAGCCCCTGGGCCCGAAGCTGGTTTCTGGCCACCCCCAAATCCTCCAACCCCACCTGCGTCTCCCCCCACCCCCCAGGCCCTCACCTGAGGTCCATTTCCAGCCCCTGTGCCAGTTGCTCTTGCAGGTGTAGGAGGTGCGACAGTCCTCCCACCATCGCTGGCAGTCCTCTTTGCACAGGGGCACGTGCAGGAAACGCTCCTTGCGCCAGCTCTGGTTCACCTGGGTGGGAGGGGAGGGAGTGGGGACGGGGATGTGGGCCGCCCGCAGCCTTGACTCAGCTGGCTGGCAGCCTGCTGGGCTGGGGTGAGGGCAGGTCCTGTACCTCCTGGATCCAGGGCCCCAGGTTGGGTGAGCACTCATAGAGACAGTTGTCCTGGATGAAGTGGCGCTTGCAGGCAGGCTCCATCTTGCCTCAGTGGTCCAAGGTGAAGTTGTACAGGAGGGAGATGTTCTTGTGCAGCTCCTGGCTGGTGCTGGCTGAGCAGCAGGCCTCCTTCCAGGGAGTGCACTGCGTGGGGAAGACACCAGACTAAGTGCCCCCCCTCCCCCCGCCCAGCTGTCTCCCGCATCTTCTGGCTCCTCTGCCCCAGGTAGGGCATCCAGAGGAACCCTTGCTGGGGAGGGCGTCGCTATGCCTGGCCCTTGGGCTAGAGGCAATTATAACAGAGTTTTTAACAGAGAGTAAAACAGGGGATGTGGGAGGCCTGGGAACCACTGTCTGGGGGAGCAATTATTTTCACAACTCTAAACAGTTTACAAAGTTATTTCACGTGATTCGGGTTATTTATATTACTCATTTTGCATCCAGCCAATATTAACTGAGTACTTATGATCAATCCCGCATCGTGCTAGGTGCTGAGAATACAGCAGTGAACAAAACAGATCAAATCTCTGCCTTTATGGAGTTTATGGCTTTAGTTGGGGGCAGGGGGAAGACACAGAACATTGTAGGCACAGAAACAGCAAGTGCAAAGTCCCTGAGGCTTTTGCACTTTATGCCCTCAACACTCTAGTGAAAACATCATTCATTCAACTGTTACAGAGTTTACATAAGCTGCACCCTGGTAAATGGTGGGATGAAGATTTTAACTCAGGGCAGGGAGGAGAAGAGCCTGGTCCCAAGCTGTGGTAAGGGCAGAGGTGAAAGGGGCTGATCTGGCTGTCCTAGGGTCTGGATCCCCAGGCTAGGGGACTCCAGATAGGTCCAGAAAGCGGTGGGGGACAGAGGGCATAATGGCCTGCACACGAACTCCAATGTGGATCTGACTCGATGTGGGAGACCATCCCAGAGAGGTAAATTCAAGGCCGATAAGACAGTGGAAGTGGTGAAGCTTTCTCGGTAGAAATAGTTCCAAGCTGGAGCTCCGGAGCTGAGTGATTATGAGGCAGTCACTTAAAATCTCTGAGACGAACTCTAGCACCCAGGGTCAAGTGACAGGGGACATGGGACAGGTCTGGGCACTCAGGAGAAACTAAGGAAAATCCAAGAGGGTGGAACCAAACCTACCTCTGTCCAACAACCTAGCCCACCCCCAGCACAGCTACATCGAACATGCTTCCAGGCCTCCCTGACTTCACGCAGGCCCCTCCTCAGATGCCCCAACTCCTGGTGGCTCTGCATGACCCCATGTACCTCATCCCTGACCTGCCAACCAGACTCAGTGGTTCCTGCCTCCAAAAGAGTGAATGATTATACTGAAAAGCACTTGCTGGCCTCTAGTAGGGGGCTTGACACAGATAAGCACTCCCATTATAGCCCCTGTCCCTGAGAATTACAAGCAAATGACTCCCTCAAAAGTCTGCATGCCATTTCTTGGCAAGAAGAAGTGCTCCCAAGGGGTCTTAGACGCAACTTCTAGAACTTAAAAAGTTCTGAAGATAAAACAATCTTTCAGAAAAAGTTATGGAGATGGATGGTGATGGTGACAACAATATGAATGGCCATCGAACCTGACACTTAGAAATGCTTAAAATGGCAACTTTTATACAAGGTATACTTTAGCGCATGCGCACACATACCACCACCACAAATGAGAAGTCGGAAATGACTCAGAAGTCATGGGGCTCTGGGCTTCCTGCTCTTCACTTCTAGCCTCTGGGTGAGTCCAGGCCAGCTTTCCCTGAGGACATCCCAGTCCTCCAGCAACGTGAGACTTCGTGGGGAGCAGAGGAGGAGACCAGGGGGAATGAAGGACCGGCATCTGTCGGGAGCCTGGAGTTCAACGGTAGGCTCAGCTTCCGAGCTGCTTCAGGGGCTTCCCTCGCCTCCCCTTCTCTGTGGGCAGCAACATCCTTGGCTCTGGTCACACTACGCTCGCCACTGCCCATGCTCTCACCCTCCCACCCGTGTACCAGCTGTTCTCTGCCAGGCTGCCCTTTCCTGCTTTGTCTTCCTGGAAAACTCTTACTCATCCTCCAAGGCCAAGGCTGATGGCACCTTTCCTGGGAAGTCTTCCCAGTGTTATCTGATTTGTCACTGTCTCTTCGACACCTAATGGGGGTGGAGGACCTGGACTGTTCCTCCGTGTTTGCTGCATCATGACCTTGAGGGACCTGAATCTCCTGTACCTTTTGAGCTTCCTGGGCCAGGGGCATATTTAAGGCTGGCAAAGGCACTGCCCGACTCTGTCCTAGCCCCTGCTCATGTCTAGCCTCTCAGTTCCCACGGTGTATGTATGCACAGACGTACACGGACGTGCACACTGTACCTCTGCCCTCTGTGGACCTCATTTCCTATTTTCTCTCCTGTGTAAGTAGAGACAACCATCCACCTACCAAGTCGGCCCTCTGGGCATATTCACTGATGAGTTGTGAGGAAAGCACTTGGCCCATAGTGGGGGCCAGAGAAATGGTCCCCCCACTATAAGTAGATTTGGTAGCCTCCGGGGGATCACCTCAGCCACCCTCCTGACTCCATTGCTCCCCAAAGTTGATCTTCCCCTTCCGCGACTTCTTCCATTTTTAGGGTCAGCTCTCTCCCCAACCCGTGACCCCACTCCATCCTTACCTGGCCATGCAGCTTGTCCTTGGGGCCTGGCTTTGTCTTATGGTGCTTGGCATCCATGCAGACGTTGAGCAGGTCCATCCCAGCCCCTGGAGTCCTGGGCTGGGCACCCCCCACAGCAGCCACCAAAGCCAGAAGCAGCAACTGTGTCATGGGCCAGGCCATGTCCATCCGTTCTTGCCAGAAAGCCGTAGTCAGAGGTGGACACAGAGCCACGAGACTCTCCACTGGGTTTCTCCACTGGTCTCCCTGCCAAGCCCAGATCTTCTGCTGTCCTCACCTAGCTTATCCCTGAAGGTACCTGAGCCAAGCAATAAGGCAAGTGTAGAGGTTGGCCAGAAGGCAAGACCCCCTCACCCCCTCACCCCCTCCCAAGGGCACTCCAATACTAGCTTTCTCTGTGACCTTGGTGGGATCCACCACCCCTCCCTGGACGTATCCTTCTAGATTTCACTGGCGGTATCTCACCCACAGTTTGAGGACCCTGCTAGTTCTGCAACCCATCTCAGATCTGCACAACATGGGCTTGAACTGCATGGGTCTACTTATACACAGATTTTTTTGCACAAATGTAGTATAATACTGTAAATGTATTTTCTTAATAACATTTTCTTTTCTCTAGCTTACTTTATTGTCAGAATACAGTATATAGGGGCACCTGGGTAGCTCAGTTGGTTGAGCGTCCGACTCTTGGTTTCGGCTCAAGTCAAATGGTCCCCAGGGTCTTGGGATCGAGCCCCGCATCTGGCTCCGTGCTCAGCAGGGAGTCTGCTTCTCTCCCTCTCCTTCTACCCCTCCCCCTGCTCTCTTTCTCTGTCTCTCCAAACTCTCGCTAAAATAAATAAATAAAAATCTTTTTAAAATACAGTCTATAGGGGCGCCTGGGTGGCTCAGTTGGTTAAGCGACTGCCTTCGGCTCAGGTCATGATCCTGGAGTCCCTGGATCGAGTCCCGCATCGGGCTCCCTGCTCAGCAAGGAGCCTGCTTCTCCCTCTAACCCTACCCCCTCTCATGTACTCTCTCTCTCTCATTCTCGCTCTCTCAAATAAATAAATAAATCTTTAAAAAAAAATAAATAGGGCGCCTGGGTGGCTCAGTCGTTAAGCGTCTGCCTTCGGCTCAGGTCATGATCCCAGGGTCCTGGGATCGAGTCCCACATCGGGCTCCCTGCTCGGCGGGAAGCCTGCTTCTCCCTCTCCCATTCCCCCTGCCTGTGTTCCTGCTCTCGCTATGTCTCTCTCTGTCAAATAAATAAATAAAATCTTTAAAAAAATAAAAAATAAAAATAAATAAAAATAAATAAAAATAAATAAATAAAATAAAATAAAATACAGTCTATAATACACATAACATACAAAATATGTGTTGACCTACTGTTTATGTTACTGGTAAGGCTTCCAGTCAACAGCAGGCTCTTAGTGGTTAGGTTTTGGGGGAGTCCAAAGTAACATGCAGATTTTCAACTGTGCAGTCTGGGTGTGTGTCAGCACCCCTAACCCCTGCATTGTTCAAGGTCAATTGTATATCCCATTTTTGTGCATAAGCAATAGCATACTGTTCTACACTTTGCCCTTTTGGGGGGTAGTTTCACTATACCTTTATGCTTCTGACAAAACAAACAAAAACCTCATGGAACCAAGTTACCCACATCTGATGGCCTAACCTTCCAGTCGCTTCTTTATGCCTGTTATGATCTGAAATTAATTAAAATGCTCTCTGGGGCAAAAACTCTTTCATTAACCATTATAAAAAGGTTAAGAAAGGGTTAACTTTCTTGGCAGGCTCAGTGGGAGGAGCATGCAACTCTTGATGGGGGAGTGGCTGTAAACTCAAGCCCCCATGTTGGGTGTAGAGATTACTTAAAAATAAAATCTTAAAAAAAAAAAGTTCAGGAAGAAAAGTTCATTTTTTCAAGTTAAAAGTGCTTGATCCTTAGTCTATTTCTCAAACATTATTGCAGACAGTAAAGTTGCTGTTAGTCTAAGAAGACAGATGGTATTGCTTCTGGTTTTTTTTAATAATGTACATTGATATCTTCCCATTATGATTTTGGGAAAACCTCCAAATCCTGTCATCACTTACTCAACTAGTAGAATGTCTCTCCCGGGGGTAAGGTCTGTGGTTTCGGTCTGTTCTCGGCACATGGTCCTGCCTCAGGTACATCTAAGGTGACAAGGTCAGAGTCTGGTTATGAGGTGCTCACCTTGCCCCATCTGCCTGCACGGGGCCTCATCACCTCGGAGTATCAGACCACAGTCAACAGCAGTCTGCCTTCCTATTGAACCAGCCTGTGATCTTCACTGTGCTGCTGGTCTTAATATCTTCATTCCCTAAATTGGGACATGCATCTGTTTTCCTTCTTTAGGAGTAGTCTGAAGGTGTAAATGAAAGTATTTTGTAGCTAATAAACATTAATTACATAATCACACTAGTTATATATTGAGAACCACGCTACAGCAATTAGAATAATGGATGTGTTACTTACATTGTTGTGTCTTGTAACTCTCGCAAGTCACTGCAATGTTGACATTATTATTCCCAACATGCAGATGAGGAAACCAAGACCTTGGGAGTCAGGTGAATTCCCAAATAGCTGAAAAGTAGAGGAGTCAGAATTCAACCCAAGCTGATTTAACTGCAAAGCCCACTGTAATGCTATCTCCAGATACATGGTCTCATTTTCTTGCCTTACCTCTAGGAAATTTAGCCAAGAAAACACATCCTATGTTTACTTTTCTTTTTTTAATATTTTATTTATTTATTTGACAGAGAGACCGTGAGAGAGGGAACACAAGCAGGGGGAGTGGGAGAGGGAGAAGCAGGCTTCCCACTGAGCAGGAGCCCGATGTGGGGTCGATCCTAGGACCCTGGGATCATGCATGACCCTAGCCGAAGATGCTTAATGACTGAGCCACCCAGGCACCCCCTATGTTTACTTTTCAGACCAGCCTTCAGAGCTTCTCTCCCCAGAAACCTTTTAGACTGTACATTTTTTTTTCCGGTTCTGCTATGTTTTGCCAAATAATGCAAATAAAGGAAATCTAATATTTTACAAATAAGGGTATCAGGCTACCCCATTCCAACCAGAGATAAGCTTAGATTTTTCATCAGTTCTTCCTAGCCATGTGATGAAGCAGGTATACACATCATAAATGATGCAAAAAGGACAAACATAAGATTTCCATTGCTTTTTTGAAAAAAGCTAAGGAAAGACACAAATCTATAAAGGCAGTCACGCCTGGAGCAATGCTGAGAGCATGCCCAGAACCGAGGATTAAGATTAATCTCATCCTGTGCAATGGAGGGGGAAAAGCCCTTTCCCATGTGGGAGTTAAAGAAGGGAACAAATTCTTTGACCATTGAGAGGCGAGGACTATGTCTCCTCCCCTTGAACGTGGACAGGCCCTGAGACTACTCTGACCAATAGAATATGGTAAAACTGATGCTTTGCCTGTTTCTAGGTCCAGGCCTTAAGGGACGATGATGGACTAAATGTTTGCATCTCTCCAACATTCCTGTATTGAACCCCTACCTGCCCTCCACCATGTGATATTAGGAGGTGGGGCTTCTGGGAAGTGATTAGGGTTAGATGGGGTTAGTGCCCTTATAAGGGTCATGGGAGAGCTTGCTTCCCCTCTCTGCTCTCCACCATGTCAGGATACAATAAGGAAGGGGCAGTCTGCAACCTGGAAGGGGGGCGTCCCCAGAACTCACCATGCCAGCACTTTGATCTTGGACTTTCAGGCTTCAGAACTGAGAGGAATAAACTTGTTTAAACGTCCTGTCTATATGGTATTCTGTTACAGCAGCCCAAACTGATCAAGACAGGGACTAGCAGCTTCTACTTCTATTTCTTGGAATATTGGCTCTTAGACCCTTGAGCCACCATGTGAGAGGACTGACTGACCTGCTGGAGAGGCCACATCGAGAAGCCCATGGACTACATGGAGAAAAGGGGGCCTGGCTGAAGCCAGCCTTCCAGCAACCCCTGCCGAAGGCCCAAGCCCGTGAGTAAAACCATCTTGGATGTTCAAGAGCATCCCCGACATGGGCTGAACATTACCAAGTGACCCTAGTCACTGCCACATGGAGCAGAAGGATCATCCAGCTGAGTCTTGCCCAATATAATCTTGAAGTATAATAAGAGAGCTATTAAGCCACTATGTTGGTTTGATTTTTTAACTTTGCATTTTGGCATAATCTTTGACTTACAGAAAAATTGCAAAAGTAGTGAAGAGAGTTCCCACATTCTTTGCATCCATGTTCCCCAAATGTTGATATCTTACATAATCCAAGTACATTTTGGCCAGAGAATCGGAGAAGTGATGGCCCTTTCAGAGTATATCATATCAAGGGGTATGTGACGTGCACGATGTCTTATTGCTAGCAATCATTTGGTTAAGGTGGTTTCTCGCCATATAGTTATTAGTTCTCCCTTTGTATTTTGTGGGAAGATAGTTTGACATGATGCACAATCCTCATCACACTGTCATCCACTGATTTTAGCATCCAACCTTGCCTGCAACAGGAAACCACAAAGCTAGGGGATGGTGCAGCACTAGCTAACGCCTAACACCACGAGAGTCAGTATGGCCTTTTTCAGGCTCTGATAAACAATTTGGCTTCTCACCTTAATATAGCCAACATAACACTTATTTCTACTGAATTAACAAAGTATTTCCACAGAATTCCTCATCACTGCAAGGGATGATCAAATTATTTGATCACTGAAGAGTTTTAATCTGTGGAGTGACCTGATTCAGTTGGCAGTTTTGAAAGATCTCCTGGCTGGTGTGTGCAGGAGGGATTGGGTGTGGGCGGGGCGGGTGGATCTGGTACACTTCAGGAGTCTGGGCTTGGGATGATGGTGCCTTGGATCAGCAGGGTGGCAGTAGGGATTTGGTCAATACATCAGCTCAAGGTCCACTGAGTGCCTACTGTGTGCTAGGCTGTTCTAGGTGCTAGGGCTCCAACAGTGAACAAGACCAAGTCTCTGCTCTTGTGGAGCTGACATTCCAAGGAGGGCAGGGAGATGGAGGAAAACAAATGGAGAGATACATGGTGATGGTGCTCTGCAGAAATAAAGCAGGGTAAGGGAATAGAGAAGGATAGAGGAGGGGCTATTTTTTTTTTAAAGATTTTATTTATTTGAGAGAGAGAACACAGGCACAAGTGGTGGGGGGAGGGGCAGAGAGAGAGACAGGGAGAAGGATAAGCAGATGCAGACTCCCCGCCCAGCAGGGAGCCCCACATAGGGCTCCATCCGAGGACTTGGGGATCATGACCTGAGCCAAAGTCAGATGCTTTAACTGACTGAGCCACCCAGGCTCACCGAGGAGGGGCTATTTTATATAGGAAAGATCTACAAGGTGATATTTGGGCAGAGGCCACAGTGAAGTAAGTAAAGGATCCCCATGGATACGGAGGGGTGTTTTGTACCAGTCTCAGCCTATCAATAAGCAATGTTGTGCTTGGACTGGCCCTGGCTCCTGTGGTTCTTATTATGAATGTAAGATGCCTTTCAGCAATCACCTTGAGGGAGCTTTGAAAAAATAAAGAGTTCTTACAGAACCTGAAAATTACACAGCGAGGGCACTGGTAGAGAAAGCACACTGGCCTGGGTTCTGCTTTTATTGGGGTCAAGGGTGGGGGCCTAGAGTTTCCTTGTATTTATTTATTTACTTATTTTAAGATTTTATTTGTTTCAGAGAGAGATCATGAAGAAGGGCAGAGGCAGAGGGAGAGGGAGAGGGAGAAGCAGACTCCCCGCTGAGCAGGGAGCTGATGCTGGGCTTGATCCCAGGACCCTGAGATCATGACTGGAGCGAAAGTCAGGCGCTTAACCCACTGAGCCACCAGACGCCCCTTTTATTTACTTGTTTGTTTGTTTTGAAAAGATTTTATTTATTTATTTGGGAGAGAGAGAGTGAGCATAGGCTCGCTCTGTATTGGTGAATTTAATACATAAGAGCAGGGGGTGCCTAGCTGGCTCAGTCAGTATAGCATGTGACTCTTAATCTCAGGCTTGTGAGTTCAAGCCCCATGTTGCGTGTGGAGCCTACTTAAAATAAAAAAACAACAACAAAAAAATAAGAATGGGAATTTAAAGTGTGAGAAGAGAAAAAAAAAAGTGACCCAAATGGTCAGTGGAAATCAGCCAAGATCTCTAAAACAAAAAAGCCTCAGTTGGGGGTGGAGGTGGCCTGGCTCTTTATCTAACACATGTGGCTGGCAATGTATTTCTTGGAGATGGCTGTCCTTGAAATGGATGTCTCAGTAATCAAAGCTTAAGTCAGGCATTTGGGTTGCAAAAAAGAACAACCAACTGTCAAGGTTTACACTATAATCTACCCTGTGATGCTTGACATGGGAAACCAAGGCAGAAGAAAAATTATTAAATTTCCTTACTACCTACAGCCCATTGACAAGTCCTTGAAACAGGCAGAGTGGCATTCCTCTAGGGACTCAACTGCCTTGATGTTAATACGTTGCTAAAGGCAAAAGGCAATCCTAGCCCAATCCCCGTTCCCCACTAGGATCCTGTAAGTCTACTTTAGCATATAAAAATTCCTTTAGAAATTTTCTTTATCTCTAGATACTTGTTGGCAATCATCCCCCAAGCATATGGCCCACTGATATACATCTGAAGGGTCTCATGACTAAGGTTTTATTAGATGGTAATAAATGACCTTTTCCCAACAATAGCTAGCCCCCTCAAGGTCCTGGAAACCTTGCTTCGAAAATTCCTTAGAGATTTACGCTATCCCTAACCCCCTCCCAACTTGAAAATATATAATGGGCCATTCCTCATGACCCTGGTGCATCTTTTTCTGCCCACGCGTCCTGTCCCTGTGCTTGAATAAAATCACCTTTTTGCACCAAAGACATCTCAAGAATTCTTTCTTGGCCGTTGGCTTCAAACCCTAACGTCTTTCCTACATCAGTGCTGAGGTATCAGAGCCAAAGTTGAGGAGATTAACTGGCAGGGTAGCCAATAAACTAAAAGTCAGGGATAGGGCACCCTGTAACCCAGAAATTACATGTTTCAATAGGATTATAGTAGCAAATGCTATAATAATTATACAGGCAATAATCTGAAATCCAGTCCAGAGCCATTGTCCCAAACTTGAAAGGTCCATCCATGAAAACAGGTTAGTGATCTCAGGGGCTTAGCAACCTGTTCAAGGATTTGGGTAATGTCGTAGAATATTTTAATGTCTTGGGCCATCTGGCATAAGTAGGTTTGAACCCGTCCTGAGTTGGTAGATTGCTCCATATCTTATCAAACTAGTCTCTTAATCTTGAGAATAATCAGTTCCGTTAGAGGATTATTTCAGGAGAGGGTGATGAAGGTTGGTTCTCCAAGTTAGGCCTATGTGGTGTAAGTATTTGCCCTGGGTATTTAAGAAGAGGCATTTCTATGGCAATAAAGAAAAAAAAAAGGTTAATGATTAGAGCAGATTATAATCGCAGTTTCTGAGTTCTGAAGGCAGCCAGGTGAGATTTCTAAATGTTGGGCTTGAAGCATCTGAAGAGATGGAGTGAGGGCAGACGGTGGCAGTCTAATAGATTTTCCTGGTTTGCAGTTTAAATGTTGCTAGTGACCTTTCTCAGTGACCCACACAACAACAGGCATAGAGATTGCCCATACATGAGCTGCTATGGTGATTTCTCTGAAGTTTATATCAAGTTGTCCCAATTAGCTTGCATGGTTTTAGGAAAAAGGCAGCTTTAGTTCTCAGTGATTCCAAGTCAGAAGGGTGGGAGAAAAATTGGAAACATTAGATTGGAGAGTTGTAGCCAGATATTGGAGGAAATAAGAATCAGTGTCCTGTCCAGTTTACAGGTAGAAAACAAAACCTCAAAAACAACAGGTCTAGAATCTGATATTTACAAGAGTGTACTATAGCTTTCCATTGAAACGTATTTTTTTCTCTCTACAGTCACCCCTGTTTCTATCAGAAATAATCAAAGAGACTGATTTGATTGCAAAATAAATCTAGTCTCATTAAACTTGGCCTGATGATTTACATAAATGCAGCAAGAACAGTGATTGACCATATAGGTTCTTTTATGTTTACTTTGCTGGAACTTTTCATAAGGAATCTCAGACAACTTTTAGAAGCCTCTGGAGGCTAAGAAGCCAAGCCAAGGATCTGCCATCAGACTTCTGCAATACCTCTAGATTTGGGTGAATTCTTCTCTTCTTGAGGTTCCCCAAAATATCCTGAGGTTCCTGGGACTGCCAAGAAATGACCTTCCTGCAGGGGCGCCTGGGTGGCTCAGTCGGTTAAGCGTCTGCCTTCGGCTCAGGTCATGATCCCAGGGTCCTGGGATCGAGCCCTGCATCGGGCTCCCTGCTCCGCGGGAAGCCTGCTTCTCCCTCTCCCACTCCCCCTGCTTGTGTTCCCTCTCTCGCTGTGTCTCTCTCTGTCAAATAAATAAATAAAATCTTAAAAAAAAAAAAAAAAAGGAAAAAGAAATGACCTTCCTTATGCACCTCATACGGCTGCTGAAACCCTATGAGCAAGGTGCTAGGGTGATTTTTCCAAGGGGCTTTATTGGCTCCATAAAGTCAACTGTAGTTCCTTAAATCTGGTATCATATTTGAGCCTATGCTTATCTCTCTAAAATATGACATTCCAGTCAAAGCCTTGGTAAGATAACCAATTTTTCCAACTGTTACAAGGAAAACAGATTCTTATTGAACTTATGCAAATAATTATATTGCCATGAAAATAAGAAATCCTTGCTGAGACTTGCCAAATTCTGGAGAGATCAAGTAGGAAGAAAAAGTAACTGTTTCATCTTTGTTCACAAAGATATACTTTACCAAATTGTTGTCATAGTTAAAGAGAAAAAAAATTCTTTAAATCTGGAAAACAAAAGATTAAAGAACCAGCAATGTTTTGAACAAAAAAATTATAATCATCATCATCTTTCAGTCCTATGTAATTAATTCTTGATCTTTTGTTAGCACTTTTATGAATCCAGCTTTTCATAAGAGTTTGTAAATTCTTATCCAGTTCAGTGGTATGATCTGAAAGTTATCAGACACCTGTACTTGTCAGAGTCCTTTCCATGAATCTTCTTGAAGAGGAATTACTTTTGCAAAAGAACCAGAGTAAAACAATAACTGCCTGTAAATGAAAAAAGACTGAAAAATGCCCATAGTTAAAAGTCTGATGGGGGTCCATTTAATGAAATCAACAAGGAAATTTGTTTATTTCTGTGATACCCACATTTTAAGATGGTAACTGAAATTATGACTGATAATGTTACATATTGGACTTTTAGGAATT